ACTAAATACTAGTCGATGCCGGACGACCGTTAGTCGGATACTAAAGTATCAGCGACCACAACTAGATTTCTTTGCGTCATACCTATTATATCAAGTTCCTAACGTTTTGTACGTCGAACCTATTTTAGGACCGACTTAGTACAAATACAAGCCCCCACTGTGAAACCACTCCATAACAGAAAGGGAGTGAATAAACTACTTAATGAGCTTGTGTAAATGGTTGGCAGAACTTTATTATGAGTGACAGCAAAAAGACAAACTTTATTGCGCACTACAATGGATAAAAGAATAAAAAGGCGATGATCGCCAACGTTTTGAAGGGAAACGTTACATAGAAGAATAAGAATTTTAACTCAGTTTTTATATATTTATTCATTTCGTTTAAGATTTTTCATATCTCACAGTATTTCAACACCAGTTTAGTAAGAACGGGAGATAGCTTGAATTAGCGTGGTCATATATTAACTACAGGAGATTCGTAGATCATAACACTTTCAATGCATCTTCGTCTAAGTAAATTATCATTTATAAATCAAACAGTATTTTTTTTAGGTCAAACTGTCACCATGAATGTTGCGGTGGCATACCAACGTTCTGAGTGTCTTTTTTTTTTTAAATTTTGAAGCCGCTTTTATGTTCGCATATTCTTTGCTTTAATTTTCGGAATGATTCACCAGTGTATTTCTTGGAATATTGTGAACTTCTTATTTCGTAAAATACTGCTTCTGATGTAAAGTTATTAGGTTGTTCAAAAAATAATACCCGATTTTAGAATAAACCTTTTAATTATGTTCTAATAGGTGGTCCAGAAAATAATGTAAGAGGTTTGCTACATCTCGTCTGTGAGAGAGGGGTTGCCGGATGGAAAATAATTTGTCACCCATAGAGACGCGGAGACGCTTTTGGATTCTATCGAGATTGGAAAGTAAGAACTGGGCATCTCCTGGTCAAATATGGCAGCTGAACTCCATTTTAGGCCTAATTTGGTTTTTGTAAACGTAGAGGATAGTATGAGAAGTCAGGTACTGACTGGAGCGGTACAGTGTATGTACGAGTTTCACTTGGGTCTGGATCGAGTTTGAGGCCCAATAGACACTCAAGACATTGGGCCTCCCCGAGGGAAAATTCATTCATCGTGACTGGTGTTTGTTCAGAATGTAACTATATGTGATGAAAGCTCGCTTAAATTTACGAACGTTTCATGGAACAGCTGAAGTAAAAAATGATAAATTCTGAACTTATCCACTATAATAAACGTAAATTGTCAACATTTAAACAACATTCTAGTAGAAAAAAAACCGTTATAATTTATTTTTATACATTTTGATTTCAGAAATATTAACAAAATCCGTGCTTTTCTAAATAAATGGATGAAATTATTCAAATTAAGATTTTACGAGTATGTTATTTAACCGCAGTCTTCTTTTTTTATATACCGTGTCCCTTCAGAACGTAGGTGATCACGGCTCTTCAGAACTCCCTCTCCTTTGTAACTCTAAGCAATATTCGTTTCCTTGAGTCCCTATTTTACCATCTATTTATACAACCTCGCCGTCTTCTCCTCTACCTCTTGCCTTCAATGTATCCTGTGAGTGTCAAATTCTCTAAGCCGTATTTCTTCATTATGTGTCCAGGGTATTTCAACTGGTCTTTTACTGTTTCTAAGTATAAGTGTCCTTTCCGTTCCTATACCCCTTAAAACGTTCACGTTGCTCACATGTTCAGTTCAGCATTTTTGTGTAGAACCATATCTGTTGTCTCCATTCTGTGAGCAAATTGCCTATCATTCCCTGCCATGATATCACACAGCACTTGAAACATTTAATTGGTAATATTTTATAAGTAAGATATCATGGGTGCTGCAAACATACTAGAAATAAATTAAAATGATAGAAATACATTGAGTCCGGAAGTAAATAAACAGTAATTTTACTTATGAAAGATTTCTTGCTTAATTAACTGATTGATAGATTCGTTTTCTACTGCTTATCAACCCTCTGTATGTTATTTAAAGCCAGAAAATATTTTAGATTGTAAGAGTATATTTTTGGTAGATAATAATATCTAAGTGATACAAATCTTAATAATTAACCCATAGCTGGGGGGAGAAGATGGGGATTCATACCTTTCCCATGGGTAAGTGAATGTAATGAACAGAATGGAAATTAGAACTCAGATCTCTCATTAACAATTCTGATCCATTATCCATTACACCACCCGCACACCCGAGCTTACAGCACCTGCTTTTCCCAAGCGGTCACCCGTTTAGGTACAGACCAAACTCGACGTTGCTTAACTTCAATGATCGACTTCGTTGTGGCTGTAAATCGGCTAATGTTGTGGCGAGTGTCACCACCCCCAGTTCAGATCATTATAGCCTGGCTACATCATCATAATTGGATCACCCTTGTTGTTTATATATATTCCTTTCGTAAGAAGGACGTCATTTACCGCGAAGCCTCTTGCAAAGCATCGCTACTTTGTGGGACTTACTCCCGCGTGGGTGCTTCCTCGAACACTACAAAATGTATCGTGTCAAATCTCTGGTCAATCGTTATTTATCCGCCATATCCCAGTAACCTTCATTTCCCACTCCCCCACTTATGTTCTTACTCTATCGTGAGTAGCTCTTGGGCCTTATATTTAGTGAAATTTCGTTAAAAGAAACAGTTTTGGGGGGACGAGGAGATAATAATGATTTTAGTGATACAAGTCACTTAACTCACAGTGAGGGGAGGGGAGTTGGGGGTCATACTGTTCCCAAGGATATTATAACGAACCCAAATAAAATTCGAAATTGGCTCTCCGATTAACAATCCCCAGACATTATCAATTACACCACCCGCACACCCAAGCTTACAGCAGCTGATATTCCCAAGCCGTTACCCATCTAGGTACTGACCAGGCTCCACGTTGCTTAACTTCAAATTTGCTCAAGAAAATACATTTTCGAGAGACTAGAATTAATCTTTGATTAAACATCGATTGAAAGAAGACCTAATGTATGATCGTTAGCAAAAGAGACGACTCAAACATTTAAATTACGAATCGCAAATACCAAAATCAAGCAAGGACAACAATTTGATTTTTAACAGAGGACGGAAAGTGTAACACTAAAATCTGAAGGCACAGTGGGATAGAGAAAGATGCTTTGCAAAAGCTAAGCAAAGTATAAGGTTGTCACACATGAAATGACGCACTTTATAGGAAATGAATAAAACGCTTTTGAAATGTTAAATAACTAATTTATTTAATTGAAATAGGCACCATATTGATGAATGTCTATTGTCCAACGTACCTCTAAATTCTTGATCCGATCATTAAAAAAAGTATCATCGTTTGATATGATAAACAGTCCAAATGCTTCGATTACCACTTCCTTATTGGAGAATCTTTTATTCCGTATAAAAAGCTCAAAATAAGTGATAATCAGTAGGAGAGATATCAGGTGAATATGAAGGATGAGACAAAATTTCATAATTCAGGCTAGGAAGCTTTGGAACAGTTGAATGAAAAGAGTCCGGCCGTCGTGCAACAAAATTGGGCCATCCTTATTCACAAATCTAGGATGTTTCTTTTTTAATTTTTCGTGCATACACTCAATTTCTCTACATTACGAAGATGTTATTGTTTTCCCCTGAGGCAAGAATGAATAATGAATAACCCCTTTGAAAGACCACCATATAGTAAGCATTAACTTTTTAGGGTACGGGGGGGTTGGGTATTGTTTTGATGATTCACTTGCATCTAATCATTGGCCTACTCTATTACTCTTGTCAAAGAGTATCCATTTCTCATCGCATATAATAATTCGATGCAAAAAATGGTTCTTTTCCCCAGTTTGTATTCATACAGTATGATTTTTTTGGCATTTTTTCATTGTAATCATTTTCATTGGGCTTAGGAGTAACAATATGTTGAAAGAAAAATTATCTGGAAAGAAAAAGTGTCAGGAACAAGTCAATATTTTTTTTATATATATTAAGGAGGTTACTTCGTTAGACTTCGTTAAACTTCGTTAGACTTCGTTAAACTTCGTTAGATTTCGTTAGACTTCGTTAGACTTCGCTAGACGGCTGGATTAACAACCAAGCAAAAAATGCGTCATTTCATGTGTGACAACCTAATATTAAACGGGAAAATTTCGTTAGACATAAAGAAAAGAGTACTAAACAGTATCAATCCTCCTATATGGTAGTGGATGCTGGACAATCTCCCCATAGATGAAGAAGAGATTTGAAGCACTAGAGATGTGATTCTACGGAAGGATGCTGAGAATACCATGAATATGTGAGCAACGACGAAGTTTTAGAAAAATAGAAACAAAAAGGACACTTATACTTAGCATCAGGAAAAAGCAGTTGAAATTTTTAGGGTACATAATGAGGAAAGAAAGCTTGGAAAATCCGATACTCACATGAGAGATTGACGGAAAGAGGGACATAGAAAAACAGCACATAACCTACCTAGCGAGCTTGAGTAAATGGATGGTGGAACAATGGCTTAAGAGAAATAACAAAAAAACAAAACATATTAAGAGCCACAAAGGACAGGAAATTGTGGAGAGCCATGATCGCCCTCACTCTGAAGGGACAAAGCGCATAGAAGATGTGCTACTTTGCAGAAATAGAGAATAAGTAGGCCTATTTGGTCTCCGGCAAGCAGTATCTTGCCATCGATTGTCAACCCAGGAGAGGAGAGATAACAAAAAGACAAAACTTATTAAGAGCCACAAAGGACAGGAAATTGTGGAGAGCCATAATCTCCCACACCCTGAAAGGACACGACACATAGAAGTTCTACTTTGCAAAAATGAGAGAATAAAGTAGGCGTTTTTGGTCTTCGGCAAGCAGTGTCTTGCCATCGATTGTCAACCTCGTCACATTTTCCCTTAGACAGGGATTAATCCAATCTTTTAAAAGGCATGCTAATGTACCAAGCAAATCTGCGAGTTGGTTAGAGATGGGGGTTGATAAAATCATGCACCAAACCATAGCCCAATGTTTATTTTTTCCTCTCCTGACCCACCTCCGGTCAGTAATATCAAGCCCAGGTGTTCTGGAAGGACGACACAAAATGCATTATTCCCTTTCAAACCTGGTAGCGTGGCGAGAAGCGAACGGGCGGTTAATATAAAGTGAATGAGAGAGAGAGAGAGAGAGAGAGAGAGAGATGGGACGGTTAAATATATATATAGGTTAAATATATATATATATATATATATATATATATATCGAGAGAAGGCAGACAGACTGACAGAGAAAGAGAGATTGAAGTTTGCGTTATTTGCAAGACTCAACATGTTCGTCATCTCGCCTGGATTCATCCAGTTATAGCACCAAGTGGCACAAAAAAGAAAAAAAAAAGAAATAGAGAAAATGGTAATCCTATTCAAGGAAAAGATTGATTAGTCTTCGCAGAGATTTCTATGGAAACTTTTATTTCAAAATAAGAATAAAAAATCGCAATTACAATTAACACAGGACAATTCGCTTAAATCCAGCAGTTTTTCGTTTGCCTAAACAGTTATTTCGATCATCTCTGTCTCTGTCCATCTCTTTCTTTTTTTTTTTTCTTTCTTTCTTTCTTTCTTTCTTTCTTTCTTTCTTTCTTTCTTTCTTTCTTTCTTTCTCTCTGTGCTTCTCTCTCATTTCCTCGCTCTCTTTCTTTATCTCACTCTATGATTCTCTCTTTTTCTCCCTATGTTTCTCTCTCTCCATTCTCCGCTCACCTACTTTCACTCATTTCTTCTTTTCCCCGTTTTGATTTCTCTCTTTCTCTCTCTCTCTCTCTCTCTCTCTCTCTCTGTCTAATACTTTTTCTCTATCTCTTTCTCTCACGCTTCCTCGATCTCTTTCACTCTTTCTTTTTCACTTTCTGTTTCTCTTCCTTCCTCTCTTTCTATGTTTGCCCCGCTCTCTATTCTCCACTCTCTTTCACCCACTCTCTCTATGTTTCTTCTTATCTTTCCCTCACTTCTACACACTCTCATCCCCTCTCACCGTCTCGCTATTCTTTCTTTCTTTCTTTCTTTCTTTCTTTCTTTCTTTCTTTCTTTCTTTGTGTTCATCTCTCTTCCTCTCTCTTCCTTTTTTCTCTCTCTTTTGTTATCTCTCTCTCTTTCTCTCTGTCTTTCTAATGATGTTTCTTTAAATACTAATAAAGTCTCTCTGGACTGAGTAGATTTTACAAATATTTAATAGTATTTTGATTTTCTTTTTATGTAATATCAGGTTTAAATATCATTGTCATTGATATAAAAGACGACAGGATTCCTAAGGAATTTCAGTGCTGCCAAAAATTGCATTATAAATAAGACCTTTCCTTTTTAAAAGACGAGTTCCCAGGTTCTTCGATATGTGCATTCGTTCTAGCATTATTAACAGATTCATTTTTTTTAGTAATTTTTTTTATAATAAAACAGCAATTTTTTCAATTTAATTTCAGTTGATTTTTATTCCATTTCACATTCGCCAACAATTACTAACTCAACCTACATTGTGATTATTATTCATTTTGCCCTAGTATTTCTTTCATCTTATTTCTCTTGCTTTTTATCCCAACTCCCAGATCATCATTCTATAATCATTGCTAAATCAAATTTGCTAAAAGGTTTGTTTCTTTCTCGTCATACGTAATTTCTATTTTGGAGAAACAACTGTAACGATGAATATATCATCCCAATTAACCCTCTCTTAAATATTATATAGCAGGTGATGAAAAATGGGTTCAGTATGGCAGTGATTGACGATCCTAAAGGTTCCATGGAAGAAAATATTGGATTGATCTAATTTACATAAGGGACTAAATAAATATATAACAGGGAAGATAGTGATCCTAAATCTGAGTTCCATGGAAGAAAATAATATTCTTTGTTTCAATACATTTTTGTTAATGTAGTTGTATTGATCGTCTGGTTATTATTCTTTTAGTGCTCTTAAAACACAGTGAGACACTAAATGCACATTTATATATTCAGCAGTTACAATGCGTCCATAAAATCGAAAATTGTCCTGCGCTCCTAAGAAAGAAAAATGTTCGTTTTCCTAACGACGCAAGACAGTAAGAATAACAGAGGAAAGACAATTGGAACTTGGCCGGTCTGTTATAACCAAGCTGTCACATCTACCTACTTTGCACTAACCAATTATTACTTTTTTCGATCATTACTTGATGAGGAAAGCTTTCTCTAATGAAAACGAGATTCAAGTGTTCGTCTAAGGAGTCTTTCACAATAAAATATCTATCTATCTATCTGAGTCTATTCAGTATCTAAGTTTATTGTATATATGTATCTATGTAAGCAAATATATGGATATAGATCCGACAGTATGAAAAAAAATATACGGAAAAAACAAACAAAAATCTTAATATGCAATTATGCTGTTTTAATGTTAATATAATGTCAACGTCGGACGTTTCGGTCTAGTAGACCATCTTCAGGACATATTCATAAAACATAATTAACATTAGACTATATTTAATTCAACATGAAAAAGACGATGGACAAAAGAGTAAGACTAATCAAAACCGATAACTGAAATTTTTCAAGATCAGCGTTCCATTTCAATATGATCACGTCGGCGTCACGTGGGCGATGTTGTGAAAACGTATTCCTAAAATATAGTTTATACTAGACCTGGCTTCTTTAATATTTACCCTTTTCTAGCAAGATTAATGCTCGACAAACGTACATATAAGTTTTAGATTAAAATAAAATTCTTTTCATTTTTCATCCAAATACTATATTCTGGAGAGAAGCATTGTATCGCACGACACAGTGAACCAACTTTCTTAGCAGCTGACCTAGATCTATCTATCTATCTATCTATCTATCTATCTATCTATCTATCTATCTATCTATCTATCTGTTCTTCTACATAAGGCCTCATACAACAAGGACAACAGAGAGAAAAAAATTCGGTTGATTTGTTCGACTGAACCACTTGACATTGTACTTTCGATGAAAAAACTAACAATCAGTTGGTGCAAAACACTTTGAGGGGGAAATTTTCTTTAAGGAGAACCAGATTAAAAAATTTTCACATCAAAAGCGGCGGAATTTTCCTCAAAATTATCGAAAAGATGCTTGGTAATTGGCAGCAAAAATAATGGTGAATATATAACAGGATAAAATGTAATTGTATTTAATTCTTTTAAAAAATAAAGTTGATAAAAAAGTGAAAATTATTTATGACTCAACCTAAGGAAGGTTTTCCTTTCTACTTTCCTTTTCTGTTTGACTTTTGAAAAATTTCCATAAACTTTTCAAAAGTCGAGGGGGTCATAAAAGCAAAATGAGACAATATGAAAAGAATCGATTTTCATACGATAGTCGTCTAGATATTTATTCTCTACTTTTGTTTACTTGGAATAAAGTATTGCTAAAATGGTTCATCACTTTCACGATTCTTTATATACGTAAATATGTGTGCTTGTTTCATTAGACAGATAGACAGAAACCAGCGCGCATGTTTTCGTGTGTGTGTGTGTGTGTGTGTGAGTGTGTGTGTGTGTGCATTCATGTAATATAACGTTGAAGACAATAGTCCGACTAAAGTTCATATACTCATTTAATATTGTCTCTGAGCAAAAATATCTTCTAAGGATCTTTTGTACGAATTATATTGTGTTACAGGATTTAGATTCAAATATTTTATCAATTTAAAGGAGTAAATTCGCCATATTTTTTTTATAGATACAAGATTCCAATGCGACTTCGGATTGTGGTGTTGTATTTTTTGTCCTCTGTTAAAACACTTCCTAGATATTTAAATTTTCGTATTTGCTTTTGTGTTTCAGGATAGCATTTCGGGTAGTTTGATTGAATATAATTATTTAATATTAAGAAAGAAAATTGTTAAAAATGTTAAATATTCCATTCATATGCACAGTGATTTGCACAACGATGTGCTGCAGTGGGTGGGCTAGTGCAACGGTTATCAGCGCACAAAAATTGAACTCGACGAGCCGGGCTCAAATTCTAATTGAATCTGTTTCGTTCACTTTGCACTAATACTCTTGGAAAAGGCATAAATCTATCTTCCTTCACCTATTGATCAAATAGCAAAGTAGAATGGACTCATTTGTCTTGGGTGACAGCCAGTCTAGGAGAAGAAAAGTTTAAATTTACACCCGAGGAGAGCTATGCGCCATTTTTCTATTTTCTTGTGTTTTTCTGAAAAGTCTGGCTGTGATGACGATGATTGATTTCCAGATTAAGAAATGTCATAAATAAAAAAAGGAAAATTGTTTTTAATGATAAAAAAATTCTTGACTAATGAGTATGATGTAAATCAAGGGTCGGCAACCTACGGCCCGCGGGCCGGATCCGGCCGGCGAAGGCATTTTGACCGGCCCGCAAAGGCATTTTGACCGGCCCGCGAGCCTGATTACCAATGACTCTATTTTTAACATGAGAGACGAGGCTTTCGAATTAGACTATCTGCCAGTTATCTTTTATGAGACTTATTTTACCAAGTTGCATTGCCTACGTTTAATGTCAAATAATGGATACATATTTGTCATGACCCTTGGCTTCATTGAAAGATAACAGAAGCGAAAGGAATGATAAAATGAAAGAGGCCAGGGAGGGAATGACATGCGAGGTAGCAGAAATCAAAAGACAGTTAGACATACGCGCATTATACATACATGCCTCATGAATGTGTGGATGATACCGCATGTGTACGTACGTAAGTGTATATGTTTGCAACTATTTGTACTCGTATGTATGGGTATATGTGCTTCGTTTTTGTTTGATGTGTGTGTGTGTGTGTGTGTGGTTCGTTTGTGGAACAATTTTCAATAACAGTTTCAAACCTACACGTCATAATTTCATCCATTTCACTTCGGTTGATTTTTTTTTCACTTTGAAGTATTTTGACGTTCCTTGAAGAAAAGTAATTTTTGTTAGGTGTTTTTTAATTTTAGATTTTCTTTTGTTTTTCTGATTTCTCAATATTTATTTTCATTATGGTTTTAAACATTTAGATTGACAGGGGTCTGCATATGTAATTTTACATAATTTTTCATTAATGGCCTTCGTCCAGCGTCTTGCTTTCCTGTCAACGTTGATCTAATTTAAATGCAATGTCAATCGTTATTTTCGCAATGATCTTTTTTGTTCTCTCTCCTTAATAGTGTTTTCTTTTTCTTATATTCAGTAAACGTTTGCGTCTTAGTAGCTTTACTGCCTTGGTTGTGAGTGTGTGTGTGTGTGGGGGGGGTAAAATGATATAAAACATAAATCTAACGGTGAAGTGTTCATAAAACCCCTTAATCTCTGGTAACCGAAACCTGCCTGCTGATCTCTCTTCTGATCTAGCTTTAATAAGTCAATAGGAGAAAGAACTCACCTGTAAAGTTCATTACATAAAAAACTAAGAAAACCTAATCAGGATGAGCTATTGTACTCTCAATGCGCACCATTGCTTTGAACATCTATTGAGATCCCAACGGTTGCCCCATTTCCCAACTAGCATCCACATACGATCCATCGGTAAAAAAAGCTTTAAAAACGGTTGGTACCTTGTGCAGCTCAGCAAAGTACCTCATTCCTCCTGCTGTAGGTCGCATCAGACCAAAAATGGAGTATTGCTGCCATATCTAGACTGGAGCTGCACAATCGTCACATTCCAGACTTGATAGCATTCAAAAGCGTTGTGTGCGGCCTTATGGGTGATGAATTATTTTCAACCCTACAACCCCTTTCTCCACAGACGAAACGTCGATAGTCGGACTCTATTGCTATTTCTGTGACAAATGGTCAGACGAGCTATATTCCTTAGTTCCACGAATTTAGAACTTTACAGCTAGGACCCGCCTTGCCACGGGCATAGGGACAAATCATTCAATGGCAGGCAGGATGTTTCACAACTACCCTGTGAAAAAGACTCCCGCGTGAATGCTTTCCCGATCTCTACTTGTTCATGTTTGCGGGTATCTATCTTATATGTGTTCATAATATCCACTTACTCCTTATGGTTAGGATTATGGCCACATATGCTGAAACAACGGATCCCGTAAGATTCACCGAAGTTAAGCAACGTTAAGCTTGGTCAGTACCTAGCTGGGTGACCACTTGAGAATACCAGGTGCTGTAAACCTGTTTGTGCAGGTGATATAATGGCTCGAAATTGGTAATCAAATAGCCGGCTTCCAATTTTGGTTAGGTTAGTTATATAGACTTACACACAAATAGCCTTGGGAAAGGTATGAAAATCTTCTTTCCTCAGCTATGGGTTAATTAGTAAGATTTGTATCATTAAAGCCATTATTAGCTAAATGAATAAATTACGTAAATTACGGTAGGTCGCAAATGCCTTGGTAGACATTATTCTATAGAAGCACTAAAAAAGTTCCATTTCTTCTGGTTAAACACTGCTGATCTCCCACCACCCATTTCTCGCTATCTTGGATCTTTTTACCACCTTAAAGAAAGCAATGGAGCCCACTTTGGGAATGACTATATTAGACTAACGTTTATAAGTATTAGGTTGATTATGATCTTAGATTTATGTTTTATATCATTTATCCCCCACCAACCAAGGCAGTAAAGCTACTAAGACGCAAACGTTTACTGAATATAAGAAAAAGAAAACACTATTAAGGAGAGAGAACAAAAAAATGATAGTGTAAACTAATTTTCAGCAATAGTCGTCTTATGGCAGACGTATCAAAGCTCACAATGTGAGTATTAGAATATTTCTTTATTAATTCAACAACTTCTAACAGCTAAATAGAGGATTAACTGGTCAGTTACATTCAATACCACGAAAACAAACTTTCATCATCCCAGAACAAATCCTGAATTTATTCTAGTGATAATGAAGGGTTGTACTTCGTGCTTTGAACGTCTTTTGGGGAAAAAAAAAAGTTGGACCCAGACCTTAACTGGAACTCATCTATACAATCTAATGCTGGAAAAATGGTCGGTCCCTTTACCGTTTTATAAAGTACCTTTTCCCCTCCTAGCTATGGGTTAATTAGTAAGACTTGTATCACTAAATTATTATCCCCCCACCAAAAAAAAAAAAAAAAAAATCTTACATTCTAAAAATCAAAATATTTTCTGTCTTTAAATAACCTCACAAAGGGTTGATAAACCATAGAAAAGAAATCAATTATCTTTACAAGAGTTAGATCAGGCCAAAAATGGAGTATTGCTGTCATATCTGCGTTGGCACTTTTCAGCCGTGACAAAATTCAAAAGCTTTTACGCGATTTTGTGGGGAGGGCTGTCACTTATTTTCCACATATAAAGTGGGGGATCAATTCTATATTACAATCAATATATAAACTGATCCCTCACTTTGGAACCACGGTAGTTTCTGTACATTTATATTCTAGAGAATGAAAATGAATCTAAAAGACATCTCTGTGTGACTCATCAGTATTCCATTGATTGGTTGATTTGTTGTCTACGGATTATCAACCCTTTGCAGTCTATTTAAAGCCAGAAAATATTTTTAGAGTGTAAGAATTATTTTTGGGAGATAATAATGATTTAGTGATACAATTCTTACTAATTAACTCATAGAGGGGGAGAAGAGGTGGATTCTTATCTTTCCCAAGGGTATTTGTGCATAAGTGAATATATCGAACCCAACGGGAATTGAAACTCAGCTCTGATCCATTATCCATTACACCACCTGCACATCCAAGCTTACAGCACTTGGTATTGCTAAGCGGTTACCCATCTAGGTACTGACCAGGCTCGACATTGCTTAGCTACGGTGATCTACGTCGTTGTGGCCGTCAGCCGGCTAATGTTGTGGCGAGTTCCAATCTTTAGTACCTCCAGTTAAGAGTGGCTACAGTGTCATGGTTGGATCACCCTTGTTCTCTATATATTCCTTTAATAAGAACGGCGTTCCACTCCGAAGCCTCTTGCCAAGCACCGCTACTTTGTGGGACAGACTCCCGTGTGGATATTTCCTCGAACACTACAAAATTAACAGCTTCAAATTTAGGGTCAGTCGTTATCTATCCGCCATATCCTCGCAACCTTTACTTCCTACTCCCTCTTCTTACGTTCTTAATCTATCTCGAGTGGCTCTTGGGTCTCGTATTTAGCGAACTTTCGTTAAAAAAATCAGTTGGGTGAATTAAGAATCAAACTCAAAAGAAATCGAATTGGGACTGGTAACGACACCAGCAATTCAATATCGAATTGAAATTCAACAAGACAAACCAGATCAAATTTAACCCACAGCTCTTACAAATGAATAATTATAAGTTGTGACTTTAAGCCGGAACATTCGAGTGAACACAATTCAAGAACACGAACTCATAATTATTATTTGTTTTGCTTTTCTAGGTATGACGATAAACTATATCCAGCAGTATGTCCTTTGATCAGGAGATTGGTTTTGAGGAGCATGGAACCACCTCTTAATTTCTGTTTTATTTACATTATTTATATTATTCGGACTATTGTCCTCATCTTTGTCGCCATATTTATTACAACGTTTCGGCCTTTCAGTATCTGTCTATGTTTCTGAGATGAGGTATTATGTACATTATTTACATTATTCGGACTATTGTCCTCATCGTTGTCGCCATATTTATTACAACGTTTCGGCCTTTCAGTATCTGTTATGTTTCTGAGATGAGGTATTATGTACATTATTTACATTATTCGGACTATTGTCCTCATCTTTGTCGCCATATTTATTACAACGTTTCGGCCTTTCAGTATCTGTCTATGTTTCTGAGATGAGGTATTATGTACATTATTTACATTATTCGGACCATTGTCCTCATCTTCGTCGCCATATTTATTACAAGGTTTCGGCCTTTCAGTATCTGTCTATGTTTCTGAGTTGAGGTATTATGTACATTATTTACATTATTCGGACTATTGTCCTCATCTTTGTCGCCATATTTATTACAACGTTTCGGCCTTTCAGTATCTGTCTATATTTCTGAGTAGAGGTATTATGTACATTATTTACATTATTCGGACTATTGTCCTCATCTTTGTCGCCATATTTATTACAACGTTTCGGCCTTTCAGTATCTGTCTATATTTCTGAGTAGAGGTATTATGTACATTATTTACATTATTCGGACTATTGTCCTCATCTTTGTCGCCATATTTATTACAACGTTTCGGCCTTTCAGTATCTGTCTATGTTTCTGAGATGAGGTATTATGTACACTATTTACATTATTCGGACTATTGTCCTCATCTTTGTCGCCATATTTATTACAACGTTTCGGCCTTTCAGTATCTGTCTATATTTCTGAGATGAGGTATTATGTACACTATTTACATTATTCGGACTATTGTCCTCATCTTTGTCGCCATATTTATTACAACGTTTCGGCCTTTCAGTATCTGTCTATGTTTCTGAGATGAGGTATTATGTACACTATTTACATTATTCGGACTATTGTCCTCATCTTTGTCGCCATATTTATTACAACGTTTCGGCCTTTCAGTATCTGTTTATATTTCTGAGATGAGGTATTATGTACACTATTTACATTATTCGGACTATTGTCCTCATTTTGTCGCCATATTTATTACAACGTTTCGGCCTTTCAGTATCTGTCTATGTTTCTGAGATGAGGTATTATGTACATTATTTACATTATTCGGACTATTGTCCTCATCTCTGTCACCATATTTATCCCAACGTTTCGGCAGTTGTATGCGCTGGCCTTCTTCAGGTGGTTGGAATGTCTCGTGCCAGTTTCTGGTAGGATTTTTCAATTTGCCTCCATATTTTTGGTATATCAGATCCGTACCGATCCTTCAGTATCTGAATTCCAACCACCTGAAGAAGGCCGGAGCGTACAACGGCCGAAACGTTGTAATAAATATGGCGACAAAGATGAGGACAATAGTCGGAATAATGTAAATAATGTACATAATACCTCATCTCAGAAATATAGACAGATGCTGTTTTATTTTGTGTTATTTTTAGTCTTTGGAGTCAAACCACGGATTTTAAACACGTCATTTTAAATATTCAGTGAGTGCACTTCCGTGGCTCACTGGTTACAGTTATCGAAGCCTATTACGAAAAAAAACGTTCAAGCGGAAAGGCATTTCGCACGATTTTTTAGTCAACATAATCATCCAAGCGAGAGTGCACTTGAAAGTGATGTAACGTTGTTGTAGAGAGGTTCAATTCCTGCGCGCGATGACTAATATAGGTGTGTAGATTTTTGGCCACATTTTCGTATACTGTGGCAATGTTTTCAGCTGAACGTAGCAAACGAGCACGCAATGGTGTTTTCATATTTGCCACCGACCAAGTCTGTTTGAATTTACGATCAATTTTTCCAATTGCACTATTGAAACTTTAACACGTTGTTTGATTGTTAATCTTTCCATGGTTGAAATTGCCAAAGACTTAAGTTGTTAAATCCGAAAGAAATAGAAAAGAAATCATTAGACGCTTAAACTTAATTCACATTTAAAATCGGTCCAAGTTAATGGAACTCCTTTTATTTTAATAGTTTAGTAAATATTTAAAAATTTATGAATAAAAAATGTTTTCGTATTTATTTCTTTATAAATTGGTAAATGATAAATATTGCAATGCTTTTATTTGTATTTGTTTTTAGATTGTTGTAAATATAAAATTATTCTTGCAAATACAGTGTAACCCGGATATAAGAGACCCGGATATAAGAGAAACCCGGATATAAGAGAAATTTTCTCTGGTCCCAAATTAAAGCTTGTGTTAATGTATATAAAATAGACCAAACCCGGATATAAGAGAAACCCGGATATAAGAGACTTCTCCGGTCCCGACAACTCTCTTATATCCGGGTTACACTGTATACACTATACAATCTAATAAATAGTGTTTAATATTTTTGTTGTAAATTCTAAAGGAGAAAACAATGTATAAATTCACTTTCATCATATGATTTGGTTTTATTTCAATTCTAATCATCGCTTATTAAAACAATAAACATTAATGAGGAGTATAGGTAGTTAAAATAAAAGCGGTGTCATGGGAAAAACCGTCCCTTTGACACTGTCTTATTGCCGGAAAGTAAGTCCACGCTTACCAGTTTGTCTACATCTCCCAATCGCTGTTCTGCCAGACAGTCACACAAGCTCGTAAGGTAGGTTATTCGC